ACTTTCTCACAATCATTTTACCCATTGCAAACATTTGTGCATCGACGAAAGTCTTATGTTGTTCGATGTTACTTTAAACAATTTATTCCTTCCAAAGGAAACAGATTTGATATTAAATCATTGATACTCTGCGATTGCATAACTAATTATTAGATTTTGTAATATATACCGGATATTGTGCGTAATTTTACAACCGGCAAATGTCATGACACTTTCACGTCCATATCTTGGGAAAAGTCATACAGTGATGACAGACAATTGGTACACAAGTTTGTCCACGTTTATATAATTTGCTACATAAACATGAAACAAATGCGTTTGGAACAGTACGGATAAAATAGACGAGATATGCCCCAATATCGAGGGAAATATGAGAAAAGGAAAATTTGTATTGACTACCGATGTAGACAGATAATTTATTGGCATTGAAGTGGCGAGATAAAAAAGATGTGTGGATGTTAACGAGTGCTCGCGAACCTAAAATGATGGAAGCTGATCGAATAAATTATCTTACAGGATCGCAGAAGTTAAAGCCAGAATGTGTTGCAGATTGATTCTCCGGACCGTGTTGATATGGTTTTAAGCACAATTGATTCATCCAGAAAATGTCTAAAATGGTACAAAAATTTATTGAACATCTCATTGTATAATTCCTATGTTCTGTATCTGAGTGTTACTGGTAAATAACTAAAATATAACGTTTTGACAGCTGTCATTAATAAAACAAATTCTGCAAAAGTATCCGCAAAATAGGAAACAAGCGGGTGGTGGGAAAAGAAACATGGAAAATTTACCATTTCGTCTGACAATTCCCTTTGAAAATTTTAAATGCAGCAGGCAACTTGACGAGAAGAAAATGTGTTGTCTACAGGAAACACACACACACAAAAAAAAGAGGAATACACCATACGAATGTAAAAGATGCGATATCGGATTATGTCTTGTTTTGAGATTTACCATACACAAGTGAACCATTAATTTTCTTATTGTTCTTCTTTCTTAAAAATAAAAATAAAATATATGTATTCGAAATAAAAATGAAATATATATATTCGAAATCTATAGTTTTTCCATATATACAGAGTATTTATGTCACGGTTATTACATGTAGATAGTATTTATATAATCGTCCCTATGATTTGTTTAATCTTCCAAATTTGAATATCCAGGCACATTACAATTATCGAATTATGGCGTTTCGAAACTTTAACACTGGCGAATAAACAGTACATGTTGAAAATAGAAAAATGTTTGGATTCGTTTTGGAGTAGACAAAGTAATAGTAATTGGATTGTGTACTATGTTATGTGTTAGTACACGAGTACATAGATCTCGCCGACGAGAAACTATTCAGTCCCCAGCCGCGTGCCGCACACGCGAAACGCTTCACCTTACAACAGCTCGCAGTCAAAGGGTTAATGGCTGTGGAGCAAACATCGGTTACCTGACAGAGCTTGACATTTCCCTGCAATTGCTTGGTAGGGAAATGAATAGACTGAGAGAGTGGCGTTCATGCGTTCATGGCGAGGAAATGTCAATGTATTGGAGAGATCGATGCAGTGAGAAGGGGCTAGCGATCCAGGAAAGTAGGAGCAAAGGCCGCTATTTACTCTGGCAGCTCTGGTTTACTATACTACATTCCACGCCTAGGATTCTTCTGCAGCTAGTTCGCGGCATAATTTTGCAGCTTGTCTTCTTTTTCTTTCCTTCCTCGTGCCCGTGTAATACGCGTGAAAAAGATGTGAGTGCATTTGAATATGCGGGGGTGGAAGTCGTATCGTTCAGAATTTCGACAGCTATCGCTTGCTATGAGTCCGATTCTCGCAGCGAAAAAAACTTGAAAAAATATACAATATATACGGTTTTGTGTGTGTGTGAGTCTTAGCGAGAATAGCGAGTCGTGATAGCGTATAGAGAGATATAGGGAGAACTAATATCTCCTTTTTCCTTCTAATTACTTAAATATTAACAAACTATTTATTATAAATCACGTGGGTAAAATTTTGTTTAGATTTCTGTTAATATTTTCAACGAACAGGGACTCTCCCAATGTGAGATTCGCTCGGACAAAGAGTAGAAACTTGGTAGAGAAATTTTGTCCGTATGAAAATCCTCTTGTGAACCGTGTCCTCGCGGTTCATCGGCTCATTTCTTCGCCTTTCGAGAGGCTTCGACCAGCAGCAGCGCTTTAAAACCGCGATGACATCAATATTTCACGTATCCGACGACAGCTGATATTTCAAATTTTTCTCTCAACCTTATCTCTCAAATTTCGACGATCCCTATCGACGTACCGATGTTCAAAAAGAAAAAAAAATGCAAACTCGTTTCTCCTTCTACCTATGTCTCTCGAATCGCCGTTGGTTAAATTTGAAATTGCATTTGATATGCACTTTTTGCATTGAGCGTGTAACAATCGTCGTTGAGTAGCTTGCAGAATTAGTGGCTCGTCTTGCTTCAGAATTTGTTTCATTGTTACTCTGATGAATTAACCTGTCTAAATTATCCTGGCAAATGACTCAAAGAAATCTCTCATTAACACTAGAACTACCGACCGTAGCTATCTCTACCAAAACCAGTCAATTTTACTGATACTGGTATAAGTAGCCATGATATAAAATTACTTTTATTTTAAATGAATAAAACAAAATTAATGTTTATTATATTAATCCTTTAGCTATCCCTGAAAAGTCATTACATCATTGCGAAGAAAAAAATGTAACACGAAGTAGGAATTTTAAAATAGAGTTGTCAAACCAGTCAAAATGACTGGTGTGGTAGTTCTAGTGTTAAAGAACTATAGCGTAGTCTGTCCAATTTTCAATACTGTGCAGTTCAAGATGATAGCCGAGGTACACCTGCACTATCGAATTAGCAATAGACAAATCCCCTAGCGATCGATCACAAGGAACTGACCATACATTCGGAAGCATCCAGTTTAAAGTACACAGTGTGCTGAAACGTTTCGCGGGTGTGACCAGCATGGATATGACCAGTTTATGAGCATGTCTGATTAATATTAACGCTAGAGAATCGGACCGTTACAGACGAAAGAAAGAAAGAAAAAGGACTGCGCAACTGTAAACAGCGTTTCTTTTCTTTTCATAGAGCATTGAAACTCCCGTTCCTTTTAATTAATTCCCCGCGGATAGTGTACTTTGATCATACTTGAAATGATCTTTATTTTCCACGCGAGACTCGCACGTGTAATTGTTTAACATCTTGAAGTGATTGTACTCTTGCCTTAGTTCGTCATCGGCCGTATCGAGTTTGATAGCCGAACAAAACGTTGTTGTTCTTGTCTTGAATAACGCGACGATAGTCACAACGGTATTGGATGTCGGACGCGTAATTATTGCCAGACCATTCTGCATCTTTGAAATCACTTGATCAAACATCATCGCAACATCATCGTTCTCCACTTTGATTCCATTATCGGTGATCGTGCGAGCACGGTAAATTTGTT